AAACACCACATCCCCCCCCCCCATCACACACCCATCATGTGCGAAGAAAACCAAAAGTACACATCAACATGTATAGGTATTTAGAATTTATTTTATCATGATGATAGCGGCACTGGTAGGCTTCCACATTGCTTTAATATTGTAAATATACCAATAAAGCATTGCCCAGCTGATGGCTCTTTCTCTAGGGTGTGTGTGTGTGTGTGTGTGGAGAGTGATCTTTTGTTTTTATTGTGGAATAACATGGTTTTGGGGGTATTTTTAAAAATGGATTTGAGATGCTGCTGCAGCAGTCCAGCTGGCACAAGGGGTAGTGTCCCTAGGTACCAAGTGGCCAGGCCCCAGAAGCTCCTGAGAGCGAGTAGCCCTGAGCTGCTTGCCAGGGCAGCTTTTTGTACGGATGGGGCCAGGACAACAGGGCAGCTTTTTATACTGCTGAGGACAGCACAGGTGCTGGCTCCGGGCTTTAGCTCCCCCTGGCTGCAGATCTGGGAGGAGCCAGGCAGGGTTATTTTGCCCCAAGTGGCACAATTTGCTCTACAACAAAGTGCATGTCCGAGCATGTTCGCCGAGGCAAAAAGCCCTGGCTCAAATTTCCACTGCTTCTGTTTGAGCTGCTGCAAGTGCACGTGCTTGCATGTGTGGATGCACTCTTTGATCATATCATTCTCCTTTTTGCCTCTCCCCTGGTTTTTCCTTTTTCACTGCATCAGGCACAGAGTTGTTGTTTTTACTTGTGAGTTAACTTTTGTGTCTTAGCACAGGCTTGTCTATCTGGTGTCTGTCTTTATTGCAGTTTCATCTTGCCAGTTTTACTGGTCAAGGCCTTAATGTGAACTGCAAAGCACGAGAGCCCCAGAATCCAGCAGCAAAAAAAGATTGCTTAGATTAGAGCTGGAAATGATGTGGGTTTTATTCTTTTACTGAAAATATTTTTGCTCAGTTTCATGCTGCTTTATTATGCCTGTAAACAATTTGCAAAGAAAAGTAAGAGGACACAACTTCTATAGAACAGATATAACTTCAGGATAATAAAATGAGGAATGTTTTGAAAGGTAAGCTTTGAGAATAGCTTGCCTTTTCTCTTTATTTAAGGTACTTCTCTGCCTTTATTTATTGGTAGACAGAACACCTGAGATGATCCACAGAACTGCTATCATGTCCTCCTTATTCCTTCTTAAGTTTCTTCTCTGCCCCAATGTCTACAAAACACTACCTCTGATGGCGATTAGGGCATGAGAGCATTTATGTTGTTATCTCTCCTTCTCTTCCTGCCATTTGTTTGTATCATTTGGCTTTAACATCTTGTTGTAACCCAGACTCTAGAGTCCTACCAATGGTATGTACAGTGCTTAATGAATGGGGCCCTGATCTTTTCCCTGAACCTGAACTAGCAATGTACTATTGGGGTTGCCAAGAGGGCTTTGCAGTTGGATACTTAACAAGCTTTGGCTTCTTTGAAAATCCTAGTCCAGATGTTTATCTTAGTTCTGGGTGTAATTATGATGTTGCACAATACTCAAAACATTTACTGCATATTTATGACAAGTCATAATGGAATAATTCCTTGTTTCACCCCATTGGTAAGCATTATACAAATCTATATGCACACATGTTATAGTGTTACAAAAGGTTGCTATATAGGTGGTCTGGCTGTAACAAGGTAGCAGGTTACATAGATTCTTAGACCCAGTGTAGGAATGTTGTTTTTTTTCTGAACGACTAAAGTTCTGCATAAATATTCAGAAGTTACTGGTGAGTTATCCCAATTAAGTCTCATTAGAAATAAAGGATATAGATTTTTCTTTTCTCTTTTTCATCTGAGGGAACTAAGACAAGATATTATAAACCCCAGTCTTGATGATAAGATTTAGGCTAAAGTATATTTGGTGCTGCTAATGAGTTACCATAAGGCGAAACCAGCAGGAAAATGCAAAGGAATGGAGCCTTTCTGCATTGTTTAGGTTGGAGTAAGGACTGGTTCATCTCATGCTTTAGAACAAGAACATAAGAACAACAACATAATTTCTGTTATGCTAAACTTGGTTCATTCATCTTTTTTTTTTTATTTTTTAAGAGAGCTATGTTTTTGTAAAGTAAGCTGTAGTAAATTAATTTGTTTATTTTCCTGTTGACAGTACTTACTGCCATCCAAAATGAAAATAAAGCCATTGTCATTCCAAGAAATTAAAAAAAAAAAATCCACTGGCTGTTTTATTTAAATATATATGTGGTCCAAAATTATTTTCTTCACTGCAAAGTCTGTATATTAGTGGTAGAATATTGATTTTACTTGTTAGAGAAATCTGTTCCTTTTTGTTTCCTTCAATCTCTTTGTTTTATGTCTTCAGTAGTTAGTCTGAAAATACAGTCTCTGCTAGAAATTAGCTACTATAAAACACAAATGTTACACTTAATTAGATAAGAAAATAACTATACTTTGTTTTTACAGAGAGTTCCTAGAGGACTAAAGGATGTTTAAAGGAAAACAAAGAGGGCAAGAGTAACATATCTGAGTGCTGGAGCAAGGGGGAGTACAGTAAAGATCTTTGTGGATCAAAAACATTTAAAAGGTATGTGAACTTTTTTACTTTTTGTTAGAGAACCTGATCTGAAATGGTCATGGGCCTCCTCTTCCATCTCGAGCATATTTTAACAATCCTTGCAGCAGCAGGGGAACAACAGCAGTAAGTGCCCTGCTTTACCTGTAGCAAGCTGGGTGCTATGCCTTGTAGTCTGTGTGAGAGGGTTGACTCTGTAGTTTTAGTAATAGGTTATACAGGAATTTGTATGAGATGGTTTGGATGGGGTTGATTCTGCCTCAGGCAGGGGGTGTCAGGGAACCTGATCAGGCAGCCCAGCCTGGATTAATTGCTTAGGCAGCCACACCTGCCTTGAGTCTCTGGCTGACCAGCTCTTTTCCAGTTAACTGACTGGCTTCTTGATTTGCTGCTGGGATCATTGCCTATTGATTTAATACCAGCTGTGGCAGCAGACTCTCCGGCCAGTCACCAGTTCTGGCCCTGGTCTGCTTTGGCAAGCTAATTGCTCCTGTGCTTTCTGGCTTTCCTGGCTCCTGATACTGGTTTGACTCACTTCTCAGGCTTTGACCCATGGATTATTCATTGGACTTGGTGACTCAGCATTGGATTTCTTCTCTGTCCCAGGCCCTGTTTCTAGACTGTGTTTTGGACTCTGTCCCTGGATTTCCCTCCAGACCTGCCAATTTGGCTCACAAACTCTGACCCAGCCCCTCACCTCTGCCTTCTCTCAGTGGCCTAACCATTAGGTCAGACCACCTATGACCCAGTCCTTAATAGGGGGTTGGACTAGATGACTTCTGGAGGTCCCTTACAGTCCAGCTTTTTAGGATTTTAAGTCAGGTAGGCTGTTTGCTGTCTCATTGTGATTTCTAACAACTGGAAAAAATGTTCTTTCTGGAATTTCTTTGTAGTTTGCTCATTGAGGCAGAAAAATACTTTTTATCCTAACCTTTTCCATTCTTTTCTCTAGCTCATAGGCTATAGACTAGTTCCTTCCTTTGGTTTTACTTTGCTCTGATTCTCAATTTCCATCTCTAGTTTATGGCAGAGGTTGGTGACTGATGGCCTCGTTTGCAGAACGGGGGGACTTTTGTGGCATTTGTCACTGAGGCGGGCAGCTTTGCCTGCATTGTGCCTCTGATGGGCAGCAGAGAAAAGTGGTGGGTGTTAGGTCCTAGAGTCAGCAAGCCCTGGACCTGAGCTGAGTCATTAAGACTTTCCAGCAGAAATTGTTGCCAACTGCTCATTTATGGTCACTGACTACATGTTTGGTGGAAAATTTGCTTCATTTTGCATGTTCAGTATATTGGGATACTCTGCTGATACTATAAGCCTGTGCTGAAATCTGTGAGTCTAGCTTCTTTCTGTTTTATACTTTATCCTTTACTTTTGAGCACTTTGCTCCACTGATCAAAAAGTTAGAGCTGTTGAGTCCCAGGAACCATGATGCATATGAATGAATCATGTTTTCACTTGGATTTTATTTTTTATCCTAGGGCTTAGCAACAGAGTGATATAGAAAAAAAATACTGAGCTTCTGCTGTGATTGCTAGCAAGGGGAATTGGCCTAATTCAGCTCTGCAGCCATTGTCCCTTTGCATAAGGAACATTTGTTTATAATCAGTTAAAGTGGGGGCTCATGTGTCACACAGTCACCATATGTTGTTGGTGGGAATTGAGGTGTGCATTAAATACCAGAAAATTTGCTGGGGAGTGGTGGCAGCATTAATTGCCATTGCTGCTGTTTCCCTGCTGCCAAATTTCCAGACCTGTGGGGGAGCCCTATGGAATGGATAACATGTCTCTGTGTGGAGCCTAGGGTTGTGCACCAGGTCCAGGGCAGCCCTCATGCAGTGGGTGTGGACCCTCATGCTGGGGCAGACCTCCAGAGCCAGGCTGCAGGGAATGGGCAGAGGTGGGGAGAAGGGAGTGTTAACTCTCGCAGCCTGAATCCCTGTGGGTTGAGCTGCCCCTGAGCTTGCTGCTGGGTGGGGCTGATGAATACCTTGGCCCTGCTGGATGGGTGGGAAGCACTTTGCTTTCTACCATGGAGCAGACACCAGTTGTACCCTGTAGTACTGGGAGCTGGGTTTGGGAATTCTGCCAAGTTACTTCTATGCCCCTGGGCAGATTTCCTAGTGGAGGTGCCCCTCAGCCTGGGCCACCTCCTCCAGAGTCTCTCTGCTGTAGGTTGAGAAGACCATGGTTTCCAGAGCAGGGGTAGGCACTCAGGTCTGGCCTAGTACCTGCTACCTGGCTCCTGGGCAAGCTGCTGCCAAGGCACCACTCTGGGATGAGAGAGGTGTTTAGTGTCTTGCCACAATGTAAAACAGCAAGAACCATTAGCAGGAGAGAGTTCAGATGGCAGCAGCCCCAGACCTGGCTTGCTGGGTTTGCCTGTGGGTCTCATCTGGCATGTGGTTTGGCATCAGTCATAGGAGCAGGTTTCTCAATAAGAACTTCTCTTTCATTCAGGCTGTCCTTCAAAAACAAGATGTCTATTGCATTCAGGGGTGTGCGGTGTGTGAGAAAATACAGTATTGCAGAGTGGGTTGGATAGTTTTAATAATTTTATTGAAGGCATTATAGTTGTCTAGTAGCTTCTTTATGTCCCAAAGAGCCCCCCAGTAGTGCTTTTTCTCGTTGGTTACAAAAGCACAGTTTAATTTCTCTAACTGTTATGAGACCAAGGTATCTGGAATTTAGTTTGACTTCAATCTCCGTGTATCTAATGGCACTTTTATTGCATTTTCATTGTTTCTAGGTTTGTTTTTTTCCACCCCTGAAATTAAGGCTTGCTTTTTCAAGCCTGTAACCTATAAGACGAAGGTAGTTCAGTGCTAGTCTAGAAACATTTTTTTGGAAATCATACTGGAAAAACAGCAGCTAGGAGTGTACTAATAAAGATTTTCTTGGTCGATACTGATAACTGATGATTAACCAACCATATTGGCCAATACTGATCCGCTAACTGATCTTTAGTAATAATGCAAGGCATTTTAAAATGCCTTGCACTTGCAGCCCCACTCCCACGTAGCCTGTGTTGCTGTCCTGGGTGGGTGGGGTGGATCTTCTTGCAGACCATGTCGCTGGGTGCATTTGGAGCTCCAGAGCATGCTGCTGCCTCTGCACCAGCGGGCCCTGTGCAGCTGACCTCCCTTGGCTGCTGGGGGAAAGCCACTTTTGCAAAGGCGCCCAGTGCCTGGAGGAGCAGAATATCCTTTGCACCGGTGCCTTACTCTGCCTGCGCGCAGCCTGATGAGCACTGGGCCTGCCGCAGAGACAGGCTTCTGCTGCATGCACAGCATTGTAGCAGCAGCTGGTAACTAGTACCTTTGCTGAGCGTGGCACCCCATGACCGCTTCCCAGTGTCCCTTCCCGCTGCTCACCAGAACCTATAGTCTGCTGCAGATTTGGGTCAGCAGTGGGGCATAGGGATTGAGCTATGCTCACCAGGGTGCTCCGGGCACGTGGCTGTCATTTATCAGCTACAACAACCAAAAAAAGCTGATAGCCAATAATGTTTTCTCCTTTTATCTATGCCAATCCACTAGCCAACCGATATATTGGTACACCCCTAATAACAGTGTGATCATAGACATTTTCCTGTGCTATTAAATGCTGTATTTATGTGAATACTTTTAAGATGATTCCCCCAAAATTTGAATCTATGTACGGAAAATTAGAAGTAATCTATAATTGTAAATTACTTGCAGTTTTCCGAGTAAAGAATCTAGTTACTGCACGGTTGTCTTCAATTCATCTCCCTTCACTGATGTGGGGATGGGGAGGGAAGCAGTGGGAAGACAGGTGGCAGGGGGGCAGACATGGAGGTTAAGTGTCAGGACATTGCCCTCTTAGGAATATCTCTCTTAAATTTCATGAAACAAGATTATATGCAATGCTAGATAAAACATTATGCTTAATAATTACAGGTGGTGGAAATTGCTTTAAATACTTAAAGCTGTCAGCTGATTTCCATTATAAGAAGTGGTTTTCAATTGCTTGCATCTTTGTCAGACTTAAATTATCTGAGCAGAAGCTTTTCATGGTGGCATGTGTCTGAGGCTAAAATGAGTTGGAAAAGTGCAGCTGTTTCCATGAATCTGATTAGAAAAAACAATTCTTAGACCTAAATGTTTTATGAGAAGTTTCTTGTGCTTCCATACTGAAATTTGGCAAGGAGTGTGCACAGGTATCTGGAATATTCTTTTGCTGTCTTTGTGATAATTTGCCAGATGGGCTTTTGAAAATTCTCAATTTTCCCATGCTCAGAAGCACATTGTTTGAATTTTGGCAATTAAGCTTTCTGATGACTCTCTCAGCAGCGAGCGCTTCATCTCCTGTGGCTTCTGCATATTGATCAGATGGTGTGTGTTATACCCATATTGTGACTGCCTGCTCAAATATAGGTGTGATGTCATTGCTGAGAGAGGCTTCTGTGCAGTCTTTTTTTTCTCTTGGCTACAGTGGACCACCATGGTGATGATTTCTACCCAGAGAGGTGTGGAGGAGTGAAGGAGAAAGCAGCATGGCAGCTTGCGCTAGACTGCAGATGGGTGAAGAAATTGTGGCTCAGCAGAGGGAGAAATGGATAACAGATTTCAGCTTAGGGTGACAGGAACAACAGTTCAGGGAGGAGAAGGAATAGGAACTGGAAAATAGAAAAAGGAGGGTAGGATAGGACATGAACAGAGAGGGAAAGGAATATAGGAGTCAGGAGCCATGGCTTGGGGTGGAGAAAAGGTAGGAATGCGGGAAGGGAATGTAGGCTGGAGTTGTGGAAGAAGAATGGAGATGGGAGATGCAGAAGCTAGGAAGGGGTGGGGAGTAAGGCCAGGATTTGATGGGGGTAGAAGCAGTTGGTGAATGGAGAGCAGGAAGGGTGTGGAGGACAAGAGCAAGCATGGAATAGGGAAAGCAGCCAAGGTGGGAAGTTAGAATTGAGTAGGGTACAGGGTCAGGAGCAGATGATAGGATAAAGAAAAGGGGGAGGGACAGCGTTAGGAGTTGGGGAGGAAATGCTAGCGGCAATTGTGTTATTAAGACCAATCGTTTAAGGGCAGAAGGATCTTTAATTGTTACAAAACACTCCTCTCCAGAATCTGGAGTTGTGTCCTAGTCTTTGAATTGCAGTGTTTCCTTTTGTGTCTATTTAAAAAGCTATGAAATCTGCTGGCAAAATTAGCCATGTTACACAGAAGCCATCTTCTATTAGTCCATCTACTATCCAGTGTCTGTTCTGTATCTAAAGATCCTAGGTGTGCAGATGATTCAAATGAGACGTCAACGTGCTAGTAGGGATGAAATTGAAATTGGTCTTTGGGAAAATGTACTGGAACTGTTGCTTCTGTGATAAAATAATATTAAGGATGTAGAGTTAATTACTCACAAATTGGGAAGATGCAGAATTAAGATTGTTCATGTAGCCTTAATTCATCTTCCTTACGCATGTGCATAACTTTATGATCACATACTATCTTTTTTTCTCCATAGAATCCTTGCATCTTTCAGCGTAAAGGACTGTGGTCTGTGGATCTATTAGTTAGATGAAGAATGAGGCCATTTTTTTTAGGATTGTTATCTCATTTGTTGGAGAAGTAGGAAGAAGGGAATGAGGCAGAACCTTTTAATTTTACCCATGGTCTCATGGGTAAAGGCAGTTGAATGCTGCCCTGGAGAAGTGTGTATCCCTCCTTTTGTCATCGTGTCCCTGAGTGATGCAGGGGAATTTGTAAATGAAAAAAAATCCCATTGTGGTAGCTCCCATTTCATTTTCTGATTGCCCAAGTGGGGATGCCTTAGGGTTAACTCGCAGAAACAGTGAGTGGTGAGGCCAATGAGAGTCTGCTGTGAGCATTTAATGTGCTAATAATAGGGACCTACCTAAATCACAGCAGAAGTTCATTGTGCAGTGTTGCCTTTAATCCTGCTCTTTTTGCTGTCCGTCCTGTCCCCGTCCCGTCTCTCCTCCCCCCCCCCCCCCCCCCACAACCCAACCGCTTCCCCCCCCCCCCCCCCCAACACACTACTGGCTAAGAGGCAATTAATGCTACAGTTTTTGCCTCTAGACCCACTCAGTAGTCATGGGGGGAGCCTGACTTTTAAAAAGCAAGATTAAAGGCATCACTGCGCTGCAAACTTGCACTGTGATTTAGGTAAATCCCTAGCTATAAATGCTAAGCACTCTAAAAAGCAACCCCTAAGCATCTCACATTGGGCACCCAACGTTAGTTGATATTTTTGCCAGTTTTGACATTTAATGTCTGAGTTCTCCCAATCTAATATTATATTACTTCTTCTTGTATGGTCATTCTTAAGATATGTGCACCATAGAAAAGCCAGCAAACTGCTTAACTCTGTATTCAGTGCAGAGGTCTTGTGGTGTGCAGTAATAATGAGAAGGCCACACAATAGGGTACATCTGTGCTGCAATCCAGAGGAGTAATTGCAGCTAACATCTTTAATACCCTAATCAGTTTCAGCCTAGCTATCTTGGGAGTGCAGGCTGCAAAACCTGCATGGGTTCTTGGATAAATACTTGGGCTGAGTTCTTTGCTGCCATGGGTTCACTCTTACTAGTTCCCAGGCTAGCCAGTTTAAAGTGAACTTGCATATGTCTACCCAGGTTGCAGTCACACTTTTGGGTTGCAGGGTTGATATAGCCACAGAATAGGTATAATACTTGCATGTACGCATTGAATTTAGTGAATGCTTTTTTGTGCACAGATTGAGAATGTGCTGTTTCTCCCACCACAAAACCCTGTCATTTAATTAGACTGGCCATTACATATGCACAGAAGTGTCCAAAGTAAGATAGTATTTTCTAATTTTTAAGTGTTTGACTTTTCAATATTTAACATAGTTTCTTTGTAAAATACTATGTTTAAATTACGTTATCCTCCTGGAAGCTGATTCCCTAAGAGGTAACATCTGAGAACTGATTCTCTCAGAGATTATGCTTGGTGTTTGAATAATTACTAAGAGTTTGCTCTTTGAGGAAGCATCACAGTGCAAAAAAGGGAAGTTGTCAAGTCATTAGGGCACCTATGTATGGGCAGTGAGGCTGCAGCATGTTAGAGCAGGCTCAATTAATCGAGTCTACTAGAGAGTGGTAATGACCATGCTCTGGAAGACTCCGCTGTCTTGTGTATCATCGTCACTGCATTTAAAAATGGCAGTGGGAGTGCTTTTAACTAACTAAAGTTTGTTTAAGGAGCCTTAGTTAAAAGCACCCCCACCACCATTTTTAAGCATGGGGACACTGATACACAAGACACTCTGGGTGCTTTAATTAGAGCAACTCTTGGAGCTGCTGTAAATAAGGTGCTGCTTCCCCTCCACCCCCAGTATGTGTATAAATGCCCTAGGAGTTGGGCAAAACAACCAAGAATTCTTGTTTGGCAATAAAGTTGTCTTTAGTTTAGAAGTTCTAGATATCTTATGTACTTCTTATAGTCCCCTCAATGCCACTGTGAAGTAGGTAAAGATGTACTGTATTTTATAGAAGCACGGACAGAGTCTGAGCTTTTTACCTTCATTTGTATCAGGAGTTTGTGATGGAATAAGAAACTGAACTTAGAATATAAACAGGTGTTGCCAAATTAAGCACGTCTGATCCGCTTTATTGAATGAAACATACATTGCCTGCTTTTCCACATTGAGTAGGGGGTCTGATCCTGTAGGACAATACATGATATATTCCCTGCTTTTAGAGATGTGCCTCTGAGGTTTCCCAGGGCAAGTCTCTGTAAGTGGGAAAAGCCAGGGTTTCCTGTTTGCAGATGTATACCCTGGAGATTGTCTGAGGCACCTCTCTCTAGGAGAGGAAAGTTGGCTCCAGAGTCACAAGGGCCCCAGTCCTGGGAATTCCTGGGGTGCACAGGATCAGACCGAGGCATTTGGAGAGTGCAGGCAGTTTTGGGTTTCCCACACTGTCCTATAAAGTGGCAAAGCTGTTGTCACCTTTATCATGACCACAATTTTGGGGCATTAGTGGCACTGCAAGGGGTGTGGTTTCATTGGCCTTTGTGCTGCCATAACATTTTTTTTATGGTGACACAAAGGGGATTTCTTTTTCTACCCTTCTATAAGTCATAGATTAGTGCTTTTAACTAGCCAGTTTCACTTCAGTTATTTAGTTCTGGATGGTTACTATACAAGATGGTGTACGTAGTTTTGCTGTTGAAAATTGTGTCTTGCTTAATTTTAATTCAAAGATTAGCTGTGCTTGCTCTAAATATTTATATCTGTGTCGTCATTTTCTGTGATATTAAAGCCCTGCAGGTTCCTTTTCCAATATATTTTCATAATTTTTATTCTGTCTGCAGATGTGGTGACTAAAAGAATCAGTCTTGTGGCCTGTATAGTACATAGTGTCTTAACGATGGGGTTTGGGAGTGACCTGAAATATTCTCATGATGCTTTGTTGAAATTGCAAGACTGGGAGCTACGACTACTGGAAGCAGTGAAGAAATTCATGGCCATGCGAGTAAAAAGTGACAAAGAATATGCATCCACTTTACAGAATCTTTGTAACCAGGTGGATAAAGAGAGTACTTTCCAGTTGGATTATATTAGCAATGTGTCCAAGGTAAGAGAATATTATCAATTGAAAATAGAGTAATTTTTCTTTTAAAAATGCATAGATAACATACATTGAGTTATTTTTATAGCTAGTATGAAAGAACAGTTGTTTTTGTTGACTCGGAGATGATGGACTATTTAGAAGTGTGTCAGAATAAATGTTGCCTGTAGTATGTTATCACTTTGAGATTGATTTCACTGAGCTATTCTCGGCCCTGTTTTCCTTCTTCTTTATTCTCCAGTCTTCTCCATTTTATTTCAAGTGAAATGTTAGTTGGTTTATGCCACAGTAACGTGGCCAATAGTTTCCTACCAATGCATTTTTTTTTTTTAGGATTAGTAAAAGTTTGGAGTTGTAGTAAATGCTCGAGGTGGAGTGAATGGCATTCAAGCTCCCCTGAAGAGCTGAGAACAATGAACTAAACTAGAATCCGTAATTTGGTGCTCTGGTATTGTAGACTCCCAGGGTTACCCAGCTGCTTTGTCTAGTGCTTTTTTGAAAGTATGCTGTATTGCAATGAGAATTTTCTTTTTTTACAGTTAAAAAGAAACTCTTGTTTATATAATGTACTTTTTTATATAATAAACTGTATTAATGCTTTGTATTTTTTTTCAACTGCATACCATGGTGTGAATAATGGTCAGAATGTCAGCCTCAGTTCTGAATTTCCTGGCTTTTTTTAAGTCACGTCACAGAATATCAGACTTTTTTTCTCATTGTTGTAATATTGTTTAAAGGGATTGCTTTGTGTATACAGTTTACAGTACCAAAAAATCTTGACTCTTTTGAAAAGTTTAAAAAATCCACAAACTTTGTTTACTAAATAGATCAAGATCAGGTACAGCAAAGGTAGTGGCAAAGCATATTCACATCACTTGCAACTAAGCTCCAACTGTGCCTGATCTGGTAGAGAGAGGACAGTAATGTCTTAAAGGATCATTTGATCCTTGCCCTCTTCTGAGAAAAGCTGGACTAGGACACCTTACCCACTCATGCTGGTCACCAAATAATTGTTATGTACCAGTTTTCAATTGCTGTCAACCTTGAATCTTGATTTCAGTGCTGTGTAGTAGCACAGCCTCGAGAAATGGTGAGGTGTTTCTTGTAAAGTGCCTATAGCTTGGTAATTAGAACACTGCCTTGGGAATTCTGTTTGTTTCCTCCATCCTCAAGCAGAGGCAGGCCCGTAAGCTATGGGTATCCTGGGTGAATGCTATAAATACTCAATTACGGGTTAAAGGTACTCCCACCTTTTCCTGCAATATAGATGCCTCCTATTATAGTCATGTCTTTGAATGGAAGTGGCATAGACTACTGTGTTGTGCTTAGGCACTTAAATTCTAAGCCCTACTCTAGGGAAATTGTCGACTCTCATTGGAGGTGTTCAGTAAGTGCCTGGAAAGCCATTGGTCATGGATGATCTAGGTGTTGCTATACTGTTTTTGAGATCTGCACCATTTTTATATACCACAAGAAATTGAATAAGTACTTCTTATTTTATGACTGTAAGTAGTCAGTGCCCTAATTTTACCATTTAGCTGAAAAAAATGCATATTTACATGACAGTGAACTTTAGTGTTCTGCCAAGGTGTTATTTTAAGGCTTATTAGAAGTAGAAAGTAAAGCCAAATCCATGATCAGCAACATTTCTGGCATAGCATTGGAGAGAAGTAAGACTGGAAGGGACCTCCAGGGGTCATTTAGTCCAACCCCCTGCCTGAGGCAGGATCCTCCCTATCTAAACCATTCTGTACAAATCTATTATCTAACACCTAACAAAGCTGCATGGGTCAACCCTGACACAACGCAAGACGTAACACCCTAATCTGCCACAGGTAAAGAAGGTGGATGATGACTGCCAACTTCCTGCTGCTGTAAAGTTTGTTAACATGTGCTCAAGAGATTCCAGGAAGAGGGCCCTGCACCCTCCCACAGAGGAATGCAAAAACTCCCACAGTCCATACCAGTCTGATGGTGGGGTAAAATTCCTTCCTGATCCCAAGTATGGCCATAGGTTTGACCCTGAGTGGGACAAGGCCCTCTAGGTAGGAACCTCTAGGTTTGTCCCAGCAGAAGCATTGATCCCAATCAAAATATGCAGTATCCAATGGAGCCAACACTTAGTGACTCTAAGGAAGACTTAAAGATGAACAAACAACCCCCTCCCCCCTGCCCTCCTTTGACAACATGTAGCAGGAGGGGTTGGGGGAATTCCCTGACAGCCCCACACGGTAATCGGCAAAGCCCAAGAGCATGGGAGATGCCTGTAGTGGAACATAGACATAGTTCTGCCTAGATCATGCCCACGCAGTGGCTCTCCAGCTACTTATTGAAAACCTCCAGTGATATGGAGATTTTACAAGGTCCCTAGAGTAGGTCTATTGTGATATCTTGCTGTTTTAACAATGAAGAAGCTTTTCCTGCTATCCAGTCTAAACCTGCTTTGCTGCAACTTCAAGCCATTGGTCCATGTCCTACTCTGCAGCAAGAGAGAAAAGGTGTTTTCCTTCTTTATGGCAGCCCTTCAGGTACTGGAAAATTCCTGTAATGTTCTGTCTTCAGAACCTCTTCCACAAATTGAACCTGCTTAGCTTCTTCAGCCTCTCCTTGTATGATTTGTATTTCAAGTGCTTTGCTTTTTTTTTGTCATCTGCTTCTGGACACTCTGTCTCCTGTATGTCATTTTTAAAGTGTGGAGCCCAAAACTCTACATGGTATTCGAGATGAAGCCTAACCAGTGCTGAGTAGAGAGACACTATCACCTCAATTTTGCATCTAATACTTCTGTTGATGTAGCCCAAACATGCATTTCTTTTGTGCAGCTACATCAGACCGCAGACTCGTATTGAGCCTGTGATGTACCAAGAAGTTCAGATCCTTCTCTGTAGTGTTGCCATCTAGCCAGGTGTTGCCCATTTTGTATTTGATCATTGTTCCCAAAGGGTAGCACCTTGCATTTGTCAGCATTGAACTTCATCCTGCTGGCTCCCGCCCAGCTTTTCAGTCTGTTGAGATCTTTCTAAATTGTGCTCCTATCCTTCAATGTGTTAACAGTCCTTCCCAGATTGGTCATCTGTGAACTCACTCACGAAGCTTTCTATTTCAGTATTGAAATCATTAATAACAAGTTGAACAGCACTGGGCCCTGAACGGATTCCTGTGGGACTCCACTTGAAATCTCTTGCCCTTCTGACGTGGATCAGAAGGTTTATGATTATCCTTTGCTTGTGGCTGGTGACCCAGTTGTCTCCCTGCCTTATGAAAGTTTCATCTAGCCCATGTTTCTGCAATTTGTTTATGAGAAGGTCATACAGGACCTTGCCAAAAACCTTGTTGAAGTCCAAATATGCTATATCCATAGCACTTCTTTCATCCACACAAGTAGTTATTTGGTCAAAGGAGATAGTTTGTTTGGCGTGATTTGTTCTTAGTAAATCTATGCTGGTTGCCTATGATAAGCCTTTCCTCCCACAGTTGCTGGCAAATAGCCTCACCTCCATACCTGGGAAGTTATTGGAGTAGGTCTTAAGGCTAACTAGTCTGTAGTTCTCTGGATTCTCCTTTTTTAAAGAGAGGCACTAAGTTGACTCTTGACTAGTCCTCTGGTACCTCTCCTGTCTTCCATGATTTCATGAATATCATTGCCAAGGGATCAAACACCTCCTCTGCCAGTTCCTTCAGTACTGTGGATGAAGGAACTGGCAGAGGATGAAGTTTATCAAGCCCTGCTGACTTGAATTAATTCAGACCCATCAGAAGCTCTCTGGCTGTCTCTCATTATTTCTTCCCTTAGCTTGTCCCCTTCCTTATCTGAATATTTTTTATTAGGTGCAGCTTAATTTTTTTGTGAAGACAGAAGAAAAGTAGCTGTTGAGCAGCTCTGTCTTCTTTGAATTTTGTGTTAGAAGTTCTTCCTGGCTAGTTAACAGTGGACTCTCTGCTTCCTCGGTCCCCTTTTTCTGGTTGCATACTTATAGAACCTCCTCTTGTCTTAAGAACCTCTTTTTGTTGTTCAGGCTGGATTTTCCTTTCAGCAAGTCTTTTAGGCTTGATCTAGATTCAAATTTGTCTAATTGCAGGGCTGTTCCAACTTCCATGTAGCCAGGAGGCACCTATTGGAAGCTGCATGCCCCAACAAAGTGAGCCACTGCCTTTCCAGGCTGCAAACACTTATTCCCCCGACCGTGCACCTGCAGTGTCTCAGTTCCCCCCACTTCTGCACTGTACATCCATGTCCCCACACTTCTACACTGTGTAGATGCCTGACTGCTGGGCTTCATGCCTGTGACCCTCCCACCCCTTGTTGTATTGTGGTGAGCCTAGGAGACACAATTCTCCATGTTGCAGCAATGCCTTGCCCCCATTGTTCAGCAGTGTAGGAGCAGCAACTGGCCAGGATCCTGGGGGCCACTATTTAATTCCTCATAGACTGCCAGTTGTACCAATTTATTACATAGCTGTGTTGGGCAGCAGGTTATATGTATGTTTTCCCCCCTTCTTGTAAAAACCTCAGGGTATGTAGTTATACTGGCAAGAAAAGCTTTTACTAGTATGACTTTGGGGACCAGCTGAAACTACTACAAAAAGATTTGTTTGAATGAAGAATCTTTTATACTAGGAAGATTTGCTGGTACTGTAGCGCTAATAATGGTAGCTCTGCTGCTACCATTTTACTGTACTTGTCTATACTTAACTCTGCCAGTTTAGCTAGCTGTACCAGTGGAATTTTTACTGTGGACAAGGCTTCAGTCAAATGCTGACAAACCTTACTTATGTTTAATGTTTGATATCACAGCCTTAGTTGGCAAGGCTCCAAGTGTAAGCCTAAATTAGAAATAATTGCAATCTGGTATTTGAAAAAGGTCAAAAGGCAAAATGTAGACCGTTACTTGCAGTATTTGTTCAAAAGAAATGTTTTGTCTGTGGTTATCCTTGGCAAAAGTAGCTTTGCTGTCCTGTAGGTTGTCATACCCAGATTTGCAAAGGACACTATTGATTCTGTCACATGTATTGTCTTTTTAACAAATAATTGAATATGTTAACAGTTTTTTTTTTTTTTTTAAATATTTATTTTAACTTTAAAAATTCCTATCGATTTTTTTTTTTGGGAAAAGTTAGATGCTTAAGCTATTTCTTCAAATACTATCCAAAACGTTTGACAATTTGAGAGAACTGAACTCTCAGATTCTTTCCTTTGTTCATCTTTTTTTTCCAAGTTAGTCTGATTTGACTTGCTTTTTCACAAGATCTTGCTTGTCACCTTCAGGGCAGTGTAATAATGCAGAAATAATTATTGTCAATGCATTTAGAAAAATTACGTTTTCCTTACCCTTGGGAAAAATTACATTTCTGTATTTGATTTCTAGTTCTGTGTCATAACAAACCCCCCCCTCCCCCCTCAAGAGTTGATAATTGGAATGCAAATGATAATGTGAGGTCTAAAAAAGAGGTAGTATGTTCCCTGGGAGGCACAGTAGCTGTTACAAAGAAGTTGCTAGATAAGCAATATTTTATTCTTAAAAGGTCTTCCAGTAAATATGGTTATTGTGCATGTTTAAAATAAACATGTTACTTTTAAACTGATCAATGTTTTCTTTTCTTGTTCCTCGTGTGATTTCTTTTCCTCTCAAAGCAGGCAGGAAGGAACTCTGTGCCCCCCACAAGCTGTTTCTGTAGGCTTTGCAAATCTTAATTCAGAAAAGCTTTCCCTACTTCTGCCCTCCATGCTGTAATTTTTTGGTGTATGACTATCTTGGCATTTCTTTTTACAATAATAACATACTGTTAAATCAGTATTAGCACAGCATGCAAATAGTATGCTATTATTATTGTTTTATTAGTCTTATGTCTTACCTGGGTTTTGTTTGGGCAAATAAAATTATCCCAGAACTTTTTAACTGTATTATCTGTGCTTTGGTGAGACCATGGATTTTTTGATACTTTTAGAGTTCGTTGAAACACAAGCTTGTGATAAGTTGTTTTGCTGAAGTTAGTGGGTCACACTAAAATAGAACACAGAATTTTCATGGCTTCCGTCTCACCCATAACCATTAGAGCATATGACTACTGCTAAATCTGGTCCTTTGTCATTAGTTTTTTTTTTTTGTATGCAGTTTGCAATATATCTTGCAAATCTGATTTTGATTAATGACTTTTGATTTTTCTCTAAGGAGAAGGTATAACTTTTAGGCACGTCACCTTGGGCTGTGAATCTTGTAGCTACTAGTATACTGCCTTGATGAGCAAGGTCCAAAGGACATGTATGACGTACAAGAAATAAAGATGATTTAATTGGTAATTTTCTTTAATTAAAATCAGTGTTAATACTAGACTGGATCCTAGGTTTAAGAGACATGTAATGGTGGGGGTGCTTTTTTAGATGGGTTGTAAAACAGAGTTTCTCAACTTTGGTCACTAAAGATACAGTGGTATCCACAGTGAAAGTGAGAGCTTTTAGTCACAGTATTTTGGCTAAATCCCATTGCTGATTATTATAACTACCCACATCCTTTAATTTTAATTGGGGTACAGTATCCATGATGCTGAATTTAGAAAATTATCCTGTTTAAGTCAAATTCTTACCCCCCTATATTCTTATTAAAATTAGACAGGACTCCCTGAGATACCTTTATTTGATATTTATAAAAGTTTATCTTTTGAGGTCCAAGTCTGGAACTGAGTACAAGTACACTGTACATTTTGGCCTTGTATGTTAACGAAATGAAAAGCTCTTTTTTTCTCCTCTAACAAAATGCAGACGGCGTAGCTAAGTGAATTAGTAACATAACTGAGATGAATTTAAGTAAGAGCAAAAATTGCCTAGGGCAGTGGGTAGCATGTGCTGGGAAGGTAGGAAGAAAGGACACAGGCATGTGTCCCAAAGGAATTTGGAAGAGAGTTCAGATAAGGCTGAGTAACTTTCTTGACAGACCCAAACTTTTGGATTGATATCTCGTAACTCCCTTGTGTTGACCCCAAGATATTCTGAGAACCAGGAAATGTTCAAACAGCCAGTCCCACCAAAGTTAAATACTCAATCATAAATGTAGGTAAAATAATGAAATACCGAAATGATACAAATGACTTGCCATACAGATAAGGCATATCAAACAAATGATTAAAATGTTATAAAGTGCACATTCATTTAAAGAAATAATAAGTAATAATCTCATTAGCAGTTGAGAAAATGTAAAATGTCTCAAAGCCCTCAAGTCTAAAAAGCCTCTCACAGGTGAACAGCCTGTTGTGGGGAAAAGAACTTTTCACCTAAGATTCAAATTAAGTTATAAAAGTTTTTATTTTAGTTTCTGTAGATGGGCTATTTAGCAATGAAGAGCAAAGATTCTGAGATAAGCCCAAAACTTTATACTCTGTGGTTTGGCTAAAATATAAAAAAGCTTACTAAATAAGGTAAAATACAGTGTTCCTAATTGGTGTTACTCAAATTAATATTCATACTCCTATTCTTATCCCTTATATAAACTATATCTTGTCTAAAATTAGCCTTGTCTAGCCACTAAATGTACTTTACACAGACTTCAGCAAGACTTCTAACCTAGCTTTTTGCATTCCATATTCCCTGAGTTTTGTAAAACAGTTCACACTTTTTGTTCTCCTTTTTCTTTTGCTTCCTCTTACCAAAACTTTGGTCATGTGAAAGCAAGCACCATTAAGCATCTTAAGGCCTACTATAGTTTATACTTATGGACTGTCCCCAACTAGATCATTCATATATTTTGAGCAGGGTTTGGATTAGATGACCTCCTGAGGTCCCTTCCAACCCATAATTTTCTATGATTCTATGAATGAATTAAAAAGGCAAGGTTATATTGTAGTCTAAAGCACTGTTTCTCAATGTGTGGGTCACAAGAATATATGAAGGGTCGTGAACAAACTTGAAAAAATGGATCAACTAACTGTAAAAATGGATTTTCCTTCAAAGGAGAAAAATTTGGGAAAACACGGCTTTTCCCTTGCAGGCTGGTTAGGGCCCTCCATGTCCCCCACACCTCCTCCTGCTCCCCACATACTGAGGGGCTGTGGCCTGGGGGCACGGAGCAGTAGGTTGGGAGTGAGGGGCACTGGGTCAGGACTGGCCATTGATGTTTACAAATGAGTCCTAGTACAAAAATGGTTGAGAACCATTGGTTTAAAGAAAGCAAAGTTTTTAAAAAGATTTTTTTAAATTTAAATTAATGATGGACTTACATTTCCTTTCCATGGTGCAGTTATGTCTAAGCCAGTAACAATAAGTTCTCTTCTTTCGTTTTCTTCTAGTCTTGGCTGCTTATGGTTCAGCAGACAGAACAACTCAGCCGAATCATGAAGACTCACGCAGAGGACCTTAATTCTGGGCCATTACATAGGCTTACAATGATGATTAAAGATAAGCAGCAAGTAAAGAAGAGCTATGTGGGAGTTCACCAGCAAATTGAGGCAGAGATGTACAAGGTATTTCACTCTATTATATTATGAAGATTTTAACATAATTTATTAAAGATTAATATTTATTACACATAGTTTACTGGCTTTTACATCTAATCTTTGAGGTGAACAAGCCAGATGCCACTGTGCCGCTTCACTCTGCTGTACAAATTTAAAATAAGTGTGCTGAATTGTATTCTTATTTCAGTCAATTCCTTCCATTATGTATGCATTACTAGTAGAAAAGCCAGAAAGAAAAGAAACTGTCCTTGATTTAATTTGGTAGACAGCTTGGGAAACATTCTTCTTTTAGGAAAAGGTGACTCCACATGAACCCTCTTCCTTCTGTTCCCCTCTAGTCATCATCAGGTTGGGGCAAAAAATCTACTAGTCAAAATTTATGAGTCTACCAGGGATAAATGGAAAAAAAATTGTGGTGAGCCTTCTTAGTTTAGGCAGAATCTAAGTATGTGCTAAAAACAATTTACCCTTTTGAGAGCTGTCCAAATGTGATGCATCTCTGTCTCCTAAGTTGGTAGACAGATTGCTTGGGGACTGCTTCTGTCACTCAAAGCTTTCCAAAGTTTCAGCTGGAGTGAAAAGCGATTGGTTTTGTCAGTTTAGCTGCAGTTCTTGAGAACAGCATGAGCAGGAGTGAAACGGGCAAGAATCAGAATTCTATTCCAGTGCTCTAAGATTGGTTTTGAACAACAGCAAAGACAGATGAATACTGGAGCTCACTGAAGATGAGCACTAAAAAGTAGGGACTGGAAGAATAGATCTGTGCATTTTGTATTTGGCAGAAATCTGAATGGCAGCCTGAACTGAGCAATAAGACCCATGGATTGTGGGATTCAGAAAACATTCTCCAGAGGCGGAACCTGGAGATCTGTTTATTAAGGGAACTGTAAATACTTACCTTAGAATGGAAAACTATGGGAAGGAGAGGTTATTCTTCTGCCAGAATTTATCTTTTCCTCAGTTAATCTGGGAGGGAGAAAATATTTTTTTTAATGTTTTTTCACTAAATGAATTACTCTTAAGGCATTTTTCTGCATCATGAGGAATATCAACCCACAGAGGAGACTGGGGCTCATGGATCTTCCTTCCTAGTTTAAATAGGCTGCAAGTGATGCTTGTTAGTTAGTTAGTTAGTACATACATACATACATACATACATACATACATACTTTTTTTTAAGCAAGACTAGTGTTTGGACAGAATTTCTCACAAAGGAAAAAAGGGTACTTTTGTACAATTGTTAATTCCAGATCGTTCACATGAAGGTTTAACTTAAAGCAAGATAATTTTCTATGAAATCCTGCACCCCACAAGCATTTCCCTCCGGTCAGCCAGACTTCCATCTGTTGTAGGAATAGTCCAGAGGAGACACTACAGAGAAGAGCAGCTCTTATATAGGCTTGACTCCTGTATCAGACCAAACCCCCAAATTTTCAGAATTTTCCATTACAAAAATGTTGCTTTCATTAGGAAACTTCAAGTGTCTTCTAGGATCCCTAGCTCCAAGACAGAGCTACAAAACAGATTGTCTAAAGGAAGTTACTCCTGGAATTGTAGGATTTCCCAGGCCTAGGACAGGAGTCCAGATGGAGTTTCATTGGACCTTAAATTATGCTTTCAGGAAGTTTGTACATAATTGTTTGGACTTAATAAGGCAGTTGTTTTCCAACAACAAAAATATTCTAAGCACCTGTAGAACCTTCTGGGGTCCAAATATTTTTCTTCTCAGTTTTGTTTAGCTGATCTATTTAGACAAGTAATGATTCACAGAAGAAACTGTTGCAAATTGTAACAGTGGAAAAGTCTAGGAGAGTATCTTGGGTCAGGATACAAAACAACTGAGCAGACATAATTCCTGGCAAATAGAGTAGGATTTGATGGCCTGGAATTTGTGAATATCTGACTTTACCTGAATTGCCCTCTCAGCTCTGATTCCTGTCTGCAGAGATTATGGGAAGTGTAGAATTGTTTTGGCTGGAACTGATATTAAATACGATATCATATAGTAGAGAGAGCTGTAGTCTGTTATATCGCTGGCTTTATCTACTCCAGAGAGCCAGGTCAGGGCATTTCTGTTTCCTAGGAGCTGTTGAAACTACTGTGAGTTTTGTAAGATCTCAATGAACAGATGACAAGGCTAACAGAAAACATTGTACTGGAGCTACTGGTACTTCAGTTGAATAGTTCAGCCAAGGAAGAAACTGAATTACAAATGTAGCAATAGCTAGAAGAAAGACTCTGAAAGATATCAGAACTTCAGGATGAAAGAATGATAAATCCATGTAAATCAAAGTCCTGGGTAGGACAGTTACCCCAATGTATTTTTTAATTATAAAATAAATAGGGCTTTTAAATGCTCATTGAAGAAGTATTGATGTTGTAGTAATATCATTCATAGAAGTGTTATTCCATGATAAGGAAGTGCTGAGCTCAATTAGAATATGGATAATAAAATGGGTTCTTTTGCAGAAGAGGGCCTGTTACTCATTATTCATTAACCATTATTCATATTTGTATCTTGATTGTAAGCGTCAACTATGAACCTTTATCCCAAAGCTCACAGTGTTACTAGAAAGAAGGAGGAATATTCTCTCTGCATTTTCCCCATTTTTAAGTAGATGAAATCCTCAGTGAAATGGACTAAGCCAGTTGTGCTCAACTTCTGGCCCATAGAGCTCTTTCATGCAGTCTGTGGGATTCCTCATGGGTCTGAAAGTTTGGCACCAAGGGAGTGGTGGCAGTGTTAATTCCTGCAGCTCTGGAAGTGGCTCTGGAAGCTGTGGTAATTAACACTGTCACTGCTTTCCCACTGCCAAATTTCCAGACCTGTGAGGAACCCTGCAGACTGCAAGGTTCAACCCAGTGTATTGACCTGGGCTGGTATGTGGGATTGCCCCATGGCTGCATCTGGTGTGTGAGGCTGGGCTGATTATGCTGGATTACACTTGTGCACCGACCCCATGCTTGATCTGGCCCATGGGCTGACCCTGTCCATGGGATTTAGCTTGTGGATTGACCCTGTGTCATTCTTCTGGCCCACAGTGCGAGTAAGTTAAGCAGCACTAAACCTGAGCTGTTACAGTTTAGCTTTATTCTACTGCAGGGTAAGGTCACATGGACAGTTACTGTGGAACAGTTGATTTGTGATAAAATCTCTCTCCCTTTTATCTTGTCTGTCCATGTCTTTCCTTCTCACCCACTTGTGGTAGAGATTTGAGCTGAAAAGTACAGCCACTGTAGAAGCTGAGCTCAGTTAGAATAGGAATAATAAAACTGGTTATTTAACAGGCCCCCTTCAGTAAGTCATAGAAAATCAGGGTTGGAAGGGACTTTAGGAGGTCATCTAGTCCAACTACTCATTCAAAGCAAGACCATGCCCAGCTATATCATCCCCACCAAGGCTTTGTTTAGCTGGCTCTTAAAAACATCCAAGGATAGAGATTCCACAACCTCTTTGGCTAACCTGTTCCAGTGTTTTACTACTCTTGTAGTGAGAAAATTCTTCCTAATATCTAACCTAAACTTCCTTGGCTGCACCTTGAGACCTTTGCTCCTTTTTCTGTCATCTGCCACCACTGAGAACAGTCTAGCTCCATCTTCTTTCAAACTCTGCTTCAGGTAGTTGAAGACTGCTATCATATCTTCTCTTAGACTTCTCTTCTCTAGACTAAAGAAGCCCAGTTCCCTCAGCCTTTCCTCAGGAGTTAAGTGCCCCAACCCCATCATCATTTTGTTGCCTTCTGCTGGACCTCAATTTGTCTACATCCTTTCTGTAGTGGGAGGCTCAAAACTGGCATAGTACTCTAGATGTGGCCTCACCAGTGCTGAGTAGAGGGGAAGAATCACTTCTCTTGATCTGCTGGCAACAATCCTACTGATGCAGGTCAGTATGCTGTTAGCCTTCTTGGCAACAAGGGCACACTGCTGACTCATATCCATTTTATTGTCCACTGTAACTTGCAGAGGTGGTGCTCAGCCACTGACCAGTCTACTCAGCCTGACTAGTGCCACTCAGGACTGACTAGTCCCCAGTCTGTACTGGTATATGGGATTGTTTTGAGCTAAGTGCAGGACTTTGCACTTGTCCTTGTTGAACCTCATGAGATTCCTTTTGACCCAATTCTCCAATTTGTCTAGGTCACTGTGGCAGGGCACTGTAGGTGCCTGCCACTTTAAGGGGCTGATGCTGGCAGCCAGCAA